CTCGCATAGTTCGTGCCCTGACCCTCGCATAGTTCGTGCCCTGACCCTCGTAGTTCGTGCCCTGACCCTCGCATAGTTCGTGCCCTGACCCTCGCATTTCCATTATTCATAAATTAGCAAAATTAATAAACAAATACTGAATCCTAGTGTAACTAATGAGTGCGCATTTGGCAAACGGCTCTAGGTTACCAAAGTTATCCTAGCAATAGTAGTGTTAGTTTTATCATCTAACCTGAGCTGGTGTCATGGCACTGGCTTCGATAATCCCACCATTTTCTCGTCATTTCTTCCAACACTCCTGTTTCTTGCAGCTTTAGTAAAGCTACGGTGAAGTTGTTAGCGTAGGCAAAATTCTTGGACATGGCAATACCGTATCCCTTGACGCCCATGAAGCCCTTGACTTTGAATAAAACAAGAAACAAATGTTACGATATCTTATTTTTGTGGCGGCGAGGTTAATCATACAGTACCACGGGGAGGCAATTACGGGTATGCACACTTCAAGCTCATCATTTGTTGAGTTACGACAAATAGTTTCCTACAGTTTTCTAAGTCGTCATTTCCGGAGCCGAGTGGAATTTTATTGGAATGTACATCAATGACTGTCATTGCTGGTCACAAGACCTAATAAGTCAAAGGGAAGCAACGTATTCAGGGGGTTCTTGGATGCCTATGGTCCCGTTCACATTAACATTATATATGTTTTTGGAGAAAGGAGGGAGGATTGATTTGTTGAAGCTCGATTTTCATGTCAGCCCTCTACTAAAAACTAGGCTTCTCGTCCTAGCAAGCTTATACGAACCTGATATTAAATCACACGGTTTCTGCTCAACAATATATCTGGAGTATGGATGCTCGTCCATGTACACTGATTTCTCATTCTCGCGGACTTTCGCGAATCCTTCGTCAAAAGTGCTGACGATAGTCTTTTCTGCAATCATGTGATGATAAAGTTTTCTTAATAAAGGAAAAAGAAAAAGAGGTTAAGTTGAATGACCACGTGCTACCGTGGCAGTCAATGAGAAATATGTCCTTGGAGTGGCATCACTGCCATTCTTTCTTTTCTTGCAGGGTTTGGGTATTTCAAAACAACTTTCCCTGCTTTTTGAATGGCTAAAGTGTAAAACGTTAATGGCCCGGCACTGTAAAAGGACTTTGGGATCTTGTAAACCAAACGAGAAAATAACGTCGTTTTCTTGAAATAAACCGAACCAAAATTTGAATAGCCAAAGACCTATTCTCGCAGAAGTTCCTTCCTACCAAACCATTAGTTAGAAAAAGATCCATTTAGAAACATATACCTATTGCTTACTATCAATCACGTGACTTTTTGGAGGTGACTGGGGGGCAAACAAGCGGTTGACTGGGGGGCAACTAGCGGATGCTAAGTCAAAACATATCAAAATAAGTCCTCAAACTATTGTATTTGACTGTTTTCACGACATCAAACCAGAAAAYAAGAGATCAAAACAACCTCCAGGATTCTACAAGCCATCAAAAAAGAGCTATTACCGGAAGTGACGTCTATTGATAGCAACCTATTGGTAAAGGTTTTGTTTCATGTTGCATACCAAGATTGAAACGTATTGTGGATGATCTCCAAATAACGTCAGCGCAGAAGAAAGTAGTCAACAAAGTTTGGGAACATTCCATATTGTTGCGACCTTTCGCTGATGGCATTCACATCGCCCATATGCAGTTTCGGCTTGGTATGCAACATACAACAAAACATTAACCAAACGTTTCCAAATAGCTGTATATAATTTCTCAAATATCCAAACGTTTAATGGCTTCTTACTGGTAAAGGCTGTATTTAGAGTTTTTGAAGGTTTCTTCTAAAGCAGTGTCTGACAAGATATGAAGTTGGTAGTCTTTATCAAGAATTTCCTGAAGAGTATTGATGGTGCTACCAGTATTACGATACGAGAAAAAGGCAGCTAGGTTAGCAGTGTATGTAGAGACCCAGATAAGAACACAGAACCAGTAACACCCGACGAGAACACGGCCTGCAAATAAAGAGAGACATAAGTAGACTGATTGATAGATGGTGGGACAGACAGACGAACAGAAAGACA